TAGACAAACACCTTTTAGGCACAAAGGTTTCACACACACACACACACACACACCCGCACACACACACACACACTCTCTCTCTCTCTCTCTCTTCTTCTTCTTCTTCGTGCTATCTCTCGCTCTCTCTCTCTCTCTCTGTGGAACTCTCCCAGTTCTTGAATATCTTTTCCATAATGCATCTTAATGAGAAGCCAAGGCAGTACAAGTTTAGCTACTCGGTTCGAAAGACTAGGCTCAAAGTGGTTCAAAGTGCTGAATGCGATCAGGATAGGCCATGATTGAAGTGCTCAACCTAGTTGCTGAAATGGCAGAAAGCTTCTATGGCCTACGCACGAATAAGCAGCTGGTAAAGTATGAAATGTGTCTACATATATATATTTACATAATATACACCAGCATTATGAAATCGATTCCTCGGCAACTCCCTTGGCAACTCCCTTTAAGATGAGTTGGCTCTACTGAAGTACATGCAACCCTGAACCAAGCAACAGACTCTTGTAACAAGCCATGCGTGTGGGTTTAGTTGCGCAGAATGATGCCATGGAGCGCCAAACTCCACATGCTGAGGCCCAACGTGTGGAACTTGGCCCACACGGTCCTTGGCCGTCAGTTAAATGCCTTCGCACTCGGATCCCCAGAATATTAAGGATGCTAAGAATAGTGATGCCAAGGAAGGACCCGCCGTTTTAAAGAAACTTTCGGTTGGGTTTGGCTCGTTGGGCTTAACCGGAAGAAGATGGCACTTATACGGACATTCAACTTCCGTACCGGTAACAGGAATCTGTGGGGGTTAAAGGTGGTTCATGCAAAGGGTTCCAGAAAGCTAGGAGGGAGGCGAAGTCAACCCGCCTCCGCAATACCGAGGTTTGGGTACTTCATAGAACAATTTCAAGAAGAAACACGTGTCTCCACAGTAGTTATGATACTGCAAGGAACGACCCTGGCTAACGGAAAAAAACAGAATGTATATGAGACATACCTGCGCATTGCTAGCGCAAATAGAAGAAGCTTGCAAGTTGAGTGGGGGCATCTCTACATGAAAGTCTGGATATTGTCTGGAGACTGGCGCTCTCTAGCCTTGCGTTGGCAACCCACCGCCCTTACAGTAAGCAACAGCTTGGTAGAGGTCTAAACATTCTGAAGTCCTAAAACTTGGCCCTCAACCAGCACCCCTAAACCCGGAACCTATGACATCAGCTCTTTGCTCAAGCAGAGTGGCTCGTTCTGATCATTGGTGACCTCCGACAGGAACATGTTGATGATGATGGCGAAGACATAATTAAGGCCGATGATCAACCTCACAGCAGACCATATTCTGACCATGGCTGCCATCGCTCTTGCCATTGACTACTACGACGACGACTGCTCCTCCTCCTGCTGCTGCTGCTCCTGCTGCTGCTGCTGCTGCTAATACGCACGCGTCTCATGCTTTCTTATTATCTAATTTTTGTTTTGTATTACGACTAGATCATCATTGTGATCATCATCATCATCATCAGCAGCATCGTCAGCACCATCATCGTCATCATCGTCGTCGTCACCATCATCATCATCATCATCATCGTGATTGTCATCATCTGCTGTTGCTGCTGCAAAAACAGCGGCGAAGGTGACGGTGACGGCGACGACGACGATTACTCCTTTGGCTCCCGCTGCTGCTGCTGCTGCTGCTGCTGCTCTTTCTGCTGCTGCTGCTGCTGCTCTTTCTGCTGTCGGTGTTGTTGTTTTACCCAAGTTCTGAAGAATGCAGTCCCCACGACGAATGCTGCTGATGCTGCTGATGAAGATGATAATGCTAATGGTGATAGTTCTGACTCTCTTTCGGCATGCGCTCGGATTGTCCATTTTTCATGTTCTTTAGAAGGGTAGGCGGGAGGGGCGGGTAGCTGGCAGCTAGGTCTAAGAAATCCAAACGGTGGAGATCATGTACATTGGCGCGCCGCACATATGCTGCCAAATCTCATGCACCTATATGCATACGCCTTATGCCCTCATGCTCAATTCATTTTGTGGCCAGCAGCATCAGCGCCGAAGTGACTGCCCTTGAGGCAGCCCGCATGCCGTTCACCAGTGTCAGCAACTCCTGCAATGCGAGGCATTTGGTACTCCAATGCGCAGAGGGTTGTTTAAGACTTGTTCAGTGCATGTGCAGGATTGCGCAAGGCTTTTACCCTCAATGACACAAAGAGATCTTACCACGCAAGACATGGGAGACTCCAATAGAACATGCATTCTAGAAAAGAAGGTGCGGTCGAACCTCCACCGGTCCTCTTGATGTTCCTCAGACTCTAATGGTGAAGTACTAAGTCAAGTGTGGTGGCACGTCTACTCGAGGACCCTGCGTTCGTGGGGTTTTTGAGCATGTGCAGCCGCCACCGTGTTCCAAGAGCATTTTGCACATTTCAAGCATCCATGCCCAAACCATGATAACGTTCGTGTTCCAAGAGCATACGATCACCAGAGCATCCATGCCCAGACCATTATAACGTTTGTGTTTCAAGAGCATACGCTCACCAGAGCATCTATGCCCAAACCATAATAACGTTCGTGTTCCAAGAGCATACGCTCACCAGAGCATCCATGCCGAAACCATAATAACGTCCGTGTTCCAAGAGCATACGCTCACCAGAGCATCTATGCCCTCTCTTTATGCTTCAAACCCCAAGTACTCCTTGGCAAGTGGTATTTCTACCTTTTCTACTCCTCCCGAAAGTTTCGTTTTTCTCCACTTTCAAAATGTGCCTCTCGCTGTAGCGAAACCCTTAAAGTAGCTGAACAAGTTGACCCGTTTCATTGTTTTAGGCCCTCTCCAAACTAGGCCTGTAAAATGGAAATCTGCAAAAACCTTTTTTTTGCACATTTCAACTCCGAGAATTCGCAGGGGTCACGAGTAGACGTGCCACCAAGTGCTACTAAGACTCTGCACATTGCAGGCAGACCCTACGTTGAAATAGAATCGAATGTCAACGTCACCAAATCTGATTTCGGATTCCTCTGGCATGAAACCCCTAGCTTATATTCAAGCGTACACCAAATTACAAAACCAACCAAACTCAATTAGGATTTCGTCATTTCATGGGAGAACTTTGACTTGTAAAACCTTGTTTACTAACAAGCAAGGACATGCAACTGTGATCCCGCCCGTTGCAAGAAACACTGCTTAGTGGTTGTATAAATTGCAAGGCCTCAATTTCACCAAAAACTGCAATGCACAAAAAAACAGCTCTTGACCACGAACCCCAATGTTGTAACATCCGAAGCAGTTCTGGGTCTCTGCATGGGATCACATCAGCGGGCCATGCTTTTGCAGTGTTGCAAAACCTTTTGAGCATTACAATGCTGGGTGGACCCCGAAGACAAACAAAACACCACGACATGTTCTTCATCTTTCTGGTCCGAATCTGGGCGGAGATTCTGGAACCTCGAAGTTAAGCACTGCAGTACAGTCTTGTGTAACGTTCAGGGCTGACATGGAGGCTCTCACCTTCAACACACCATGATCCACCAGACGGCAGAGAAGTGGGGCAGGAGCGGAGCAATTTCCGAAGAAGCACTCAAGGGTTGGGCTGGAGCCTCCTTCAGGTTTTCCACCGGCAGGGAGGATTCTTGGACGCCGAGTAGAGGGGTGGACGCAAAGACGGGCGGCAGGAGGCGCGACTGGAGGGGTGGTTGCGAGGATTGGTCGGCGATTGGTGGCGGGAGGGTGGGAGGACGGATGGCAGGAGTGGTTGTAATGGCAGGAGTTGGCCGTGGTCAGGAGAATCGTCGCAAAAAGGTCGGCAGGAGATTCAAGGAAAGGTGGCCGCGAGGGCGGATAGCAGGATGGGTCTTCCGGTGGAGGATTTGAAGCTGTCCTGACCGCCAGCAGCTGCACAGCATGCCAGCATGAATAGAGCAGCACATGGCGTGCATCCCAGCCAGCCCGGAAACTCACGCAAGGTTTTCGGGTTCCCGGGTTGAGCTTGTTCCTATACAATGCAGGAAACCAAGCACAGGCACGGAAGCAGAGTACCCTCTTGAGAAAAATCTTGCTATCAGATTGACCGTAGTAATTATAAGCCTAAGCTGTATAAAACTAACAAGGACATGACCCTTGCTCTACCGTCCCTGCACCACTTGCCCTCCGAAACACCCACCTCTGAACCCAAGCCTCAGCCTCTCAAGTCTCTGTAGACCCCACACATGTACTGGATCTCCGGAAGGGATCGAAGCAGCCGAACCAGACGGGACAGCCTGCCGAATGTGAAGTGGCGAGGGTGCACAGTGTGAGGTTCAATTCTTGAATGTCAGGATGTGTTAGGGGAATCGTTTGCACGAACCAAAGCCAGACCTCATTTCTGTCAAAACTCCTCCTGACTTGTGATGGAAGTCTTAAGCATGAAGTCTTTTGTACAGGGTTGCGAATTATATGCTACACTGGACCCTAATTATATATAACTCTTCAAACTTCAACTTGGGAATACTGAGGGAGGCCTCAGCAAGCGTAGAAGTCGCAGAGGCCCAGTTGGAAGGCCGCCGCCGTCAGCGCCCGCCTCAGCGCAGAAAGGGCGGTTCAGGGACTGCCGCCCTTGCTGTTTGGGGGAACAGAGTTTCCAGTGGCTCAACAAGCGCTGATGACATTGTGCGTTCAGGGTTTGCAGACGCATAGGACTGTTCTCAAAGAGTGCCGAGATGCGATGAGCAATGTCACGCTGAGAATCCACGTTTCGAAGACCATGAGGAGGACCTGGAGGCAAGGGGTCATGATGCATTTGCACATAGCACCGATGCCAAACAAGTTTGCTCTTTTCCCAATTGGCTGTACATCATGCCTCCATATTTGCTCTTGCCGACCTGAAATCGGAAGCTGAACCAAGCCCATAAGCGCAGTGAAACAGCCACGTACATTCCTAATTGAGATCTAGGTTGTGGCGAGTTTTTTGAACGGAGTGAAAGGAAGCAATTCAGAACTCATCTGTGCGCTGTACAGCTTTTGTTCCGCGGGCATGAAACCTCATGTCTCAAGCCCTTTCAGGATGACTGACGGCAGCCCACCACTATCGCAATCTGCCAGAGCGCTGAGCGCTAGTCTACAAACCGTCATGTGACCAAACCCTGCACCATCTTCCACCCCAAGCCAAATTTTTGACATCTCCCATACTCCACGGGACCTTTCTTCTCCTACTTTGATCAGGCTTGCCTTCGAGATCTTCGACTTCATCTTGTTGGGAAGCTACGAAGCTTTAAGGCTTATCCCGTCATACCAGCCTAGGTAAACCGAAGATGGCTGGTTGACACATAAACCTATACCCCAGCACCGTAGGAACCCAACTGCAAACTGCAAACACTGTTTTGGACTCTCTTGTTCACAAAGCTTCTGCAAGCCATAGACTTCCGAAACTCCTCCAAGTCCCCGCCGAGGCACCAAAATCGTATCAAACACAAACCACAGGTCTCGCAGGCCTGGGAGGCTTCGAAGCCCGTGGCTGCTGGGGTAAGGGAAGGGCTTAGAGTCGAGAGTGCCGCTGCAAAGGATTTCGGGTCCATGGGTGTGGCGCTTGGCGGAATGGGACAGCCGGCCAGTCAGGGCTGGAGTTGGAGTTGCAGCCGCTGTGCATTCTGTACCAGTAGGGATCTGTAGCAAATTAAAACGCATCCCAAATCCTTTACAACTTTGCAACAGAGTCACATGCTGCACTTGTAAGAAAATTGAAAACAAAGGGCTTCAAAGAGGCGGTTGAACCCCTACGCCCCAAGAAACTCAAACCTCAATTCCTTTCCATCCCTTACCAACGCCTAACTGGAAGCCCAACTTCCAAGGGCGACCCAGAGGCAATTTCGCTTACGCTCGAATGCTCCAAACCGGATGCCCAGCTCAAACCTGGGAGTCGAGGAGGTTCGGCATGGATTTTCGAGCGCGGGAGCAAGTTTTAGGGCCTAGGTGTCCGGTGCATCGCAGCTGTCAGAGCCAAACCGCAGTACTTGGGGCTTGTCTCAACACCACCTAGCTCCATCCCAGCGTTTGAAAGCCTTGATGCAGGGTCGTGCCTTTACTCGAAGCTGGCTGAGAATTGGTGCTTGCCAATGCTAATTCTAATGACTCGCACGCCGAAATCCCCTTACTAGACCGTTCCATCAGAAGATGAAGCCTCCCAACCCAGACCACCAAAAAATGTCGAGACGCTGTCAGACCCTCGACTGATGGTCAGAAAAACCGCTTGAACGGTAAATCCCTGGTTCGGGAACCGGAATTCTCGAATATGATCCAAGAGGCGTAAAGAAAAGGCAGAATAAGTGATCACAAAGCTGATACCTTGGCGAGTCTCGAACTTTTTTGCGTGAGTGCCGTAGGAGTGAGATCAGATTGGAAATAAATAGGAAAGCATCTAATCTGAATTACCATGCTTGGTGCTCGGGGTACATGCTGTCAAGTTTGTAGAGCTTCATAGAATGCGTAGCCTAGTGCACAAGCATCAAGGCTTTAGAGTTATGGGAACTTTCTAGAGTACAGGTTCAGTCAACAGGTGCGGGAGCTTATGCAGCGTTCGGGGACTAGTTCTTCTCATGTAAGAATTCCAAGTCATGACTCTGTGAGGAGGGAGGCTCCAGTGATTCGTCACTGCCGTCTTTTGGCTTTGTGGCGGAAACCGAGGCATGACACTCTTTCAGAATCATCTCCGATGCTTGCCCGTCTGGGGTGTCCTTTGAAATCCATCCTGAACACGCCCGCGGCAGCGATGGGAGCAATGCAAGAAGCAGGAGCGACACACGGACACAGGCGCTAAAGTTCTTGTTGACATCCTGCCCCAGCCTTGAGCCCAATGAACCCTCACGCCTGCCCGGTAACTAGCTATGTCTGACGTGCCCGATCCTTAACCTAGCTCTCCAAAGAAGGTGCCCGACATGCGCAGCAACCTTCAAACCAAAGTTCCAAGAACGTCTTCAACCCCCAACCTTCTCGTCCCACCCTACAACCTAACCCATCCACTTCCACCCTGAACAATCCAGGGCACGGCCATTCCGAGTGAATCAGCGTTGCCGCGTCGTTATTATCTGCATCCACACCTATGTAGATTGCATTGATGCCTCAGCAAGTCTGGCTGA